GTCTAATTTGAATTTCCACTCGCACGTAGATGTATAAACCTGCCTTCAATCGCGAAAGTTTTTCAAACAGACTGAACCATCGTGACTTTCGTAATTTTCTTATAAAGCGTATTCCCCGTCGGCGCTCAATAATATATTCATGCATTCATCCTCCCGCGAATTCCATCCACCATCTACTCACTCGATAAAAATTGCAGTTTAGTGTGAACGCGTCTCGAGCTGAGCAAAAGGAAGATTTTTTACTCTTTGGGAGAGTTCGGTGCATCAATATTTGATCTGCGTAGAGCGAAGGGACGAAAATGCGTCAATACCGTGCGCGCACTATGTTACAGAAAAATAACAATACGTTACCGTTATGCAAATACCAGCGATATTTCCGGCTGACGTAGGTAACGTTTTCCTTTTTCTCTTTTTTCATACACGATATATTCATATCGGCGCGATAATAACCGTGTTTTATTTCTCTCGCCCCTGGCCGTAAAGAAAGTTGGAATAACGAGAGACTTCACAAAATCCATCGATCGCGTAGTGCCGATATATTCGTTGGAGCGAAGGAAGGTATTATCCGAGGGCGAAATAGACGAGCAAACAAGATGTGCCTAATTCAAATTTCTATTAGGACGAATTTCTATATATCCTCAGAGATCTCCGAGATCGTTAAAAAGAGGTCGGCTGCTTGAATTTCAACGTCAAAATCGTTGGAAAACAAGTTCTCCTTTTTCTATGAGTGTATAATTAAAAAAGGAACAAATTGTCTGACGCGTTTTGTCGTGCGCACTGGACGTCGCGCGTCTATTGATTTATCAATTTTTTCCTCAGCGTTCTATCATTCGCCCGCGTCGATAAAAGTGTCACCCGCAATGACGATTCTGCCCACCTACCCCGTCGGATGCTGCGTGCTTGTCAATAACGTATCTATCGAAACGACGAGGACCTACGCTATTTTAAACGCGCCTAAAGCGACATGCACTTTGATTTCTATTGTGGAATTAGATCTGTGTGACACCAATCCAGAGAGCACCTGTGACATAATTTCAGATCTAAAGGAGTTATTCGAATGTGTCGTATTATTTGAAATAATGCTACGCTTTCTCCTTTGTAGTGTTCTGTAAATTCGAGGTATAATAGTATGCATTCGTTCGTAATGCTTCGGTCTATTATTCCTTTATAATGCATCGCGCGCTTCGGCTCGTTCTTCCGCTGTTACATTTTCCGCTATCTCCACCCACGGTGTGGTTCCAGCAAACTCTGAGAGATACGTTTGGTAATTTGGAACGAGACGAGCGTTCCGCTTAACAATGGAGAAATCTTACGCACACGGACGTTGACCGTGATGCTGCGACGTAGGTACTGATAGTCAGCCAGTTAACTGTATATTTCAATGCGACAGATATGTAACGGGGGGAGTTACCATCTGTTAATCCGAGAAGAGTGAGCCTCGCAGAGAAAATACATAGGACGATACATGAAAGCGAGTATATGCGCGTCGTCTAACGCGGACTTTGCATCCATCTATTCGAAACAAACTTTCCTTCGTATCAGCTTGTTGTAGGGGGGGGGGGGGG